GATAAGTGCCGAGCCTAACCTCGGCGAAGTAGTGATGAGGCTAGGACACGACAAATAACATAAACTTGTGCAGTTAAACAGTATGCTAACACAATAACAGAAATTAACGGGAAGGGGCAACATGCTATGGGGGTACCAAAATAAAGAATCATAGCAGTAAAGGAATTTAAACAGCTAGTACACTTTGAACCGATAATAACAAATAAACACAGCAAACAGAAAATGCACGGCATCACCCTTCGTGCATTTACTCTCAATCCTCACCACGTAGTCAATCATAGAAACGTGCACGGCATCACCCTTCATGCTTTACCAGTCAACCTCACCAGATAATCAATAATAGAAACATGCACGGCATCACCCTTCGTGCTTTACCACTCAGCCTCACCATATGAATAATAGAAATGTGCACGGCGTCACCCTTCGTGCTTTATCACTCTTCCTCACCACATAAGAAACAACAGAACAATAGCAACCCGGCAAGGGAATCATAATTAAACAACTTTATTCATCACTTAACTTCACAACATAAATCTCAACTTGAGCCAATACTCAACCAATATCCAAAAATCAGAAAAAACGTAATAAGACTTGTTTAACATGAGTAGTAACCAGTTTAAGCAGGAACAATACGTATAAAGAAACACAACGGTCACAAGTATAAGACTCACTCGCATGCTATGACCCGACAACAACGTACAGATACTCGTCACCTCACCTATACGTTGTACTTAACAAATAAATATGTAGCAAATAAGGCAACAAAACCTAATCGCTCAAGCTAAGGTTAGCCATAACACTTACCTCGATTCCACGGCCAAACTCAAGCCTCAAATACCGCTTTACCCTTAGTTTCAACTTCCAATCCGCTCGTATCTATTCATAATTAACTTATTAACATCAATTAATGCCAGAGAAACCAATTCTAATGCATAATTATAGATTTTCCAACATTTTTCCCAAAAAGTCAAAAATCAACCTCGAGCCCGCTTGGTCAAAACTCAAAGTTCGGACCAAAATCCGATCACCCATTCACCTACGAGCCCAAATATGTAATTAGTTTCGGAATCCGACCCCAAATCGAGGTCTAATTTCCCGAATTTGTAAAATCTCCAATTCTCCCAAAATCCCCAATTTCTACCCTTATAGAACAAGATTTAGGCCTAGAAATCTAATAGGTGTTGATGAAAATTGAAAGAAATGAGTTTTAGAACACGAACCTATGATTTGGTGTTGAATCCCACTTCAAAAATCGCCCAAGGTCGAGTTCTATGGAAGAAAATATGAAATTTTGGTCTAATCCCGTTTTTGAGTTCTGTTTTTAAAACACTGGACAGACCTTATTCGCGTTCGCGAGAGGTCTGTCGCGTTCGGAAGCTGTCGTCCTAGTAACCTTCGCATTCGCAAGACACCCTACGGGTTCGCGAAGGTATACCCCCCCCCCCAACCTTCGCATTCGCGAGCCATTTGCCGCGTTCGCGTAGAGTATCATTCCCCTCCCCCAGTTCCCGTTCTACGCGTTCGCGATAGCCTGGTCGCATTCGCGAAGGGTATTGCCCCCAACGCTCCGCGTTCGTGACCAGTGCTTCACGTTCGCGTAGAAGGATTTCTCCTTCAGACCGACCTACTCTTCGCATTTGTGAGAGTCCCTTCGCGAACGTGAAGAAGGACATACCAGATGACAACAGAAGCCAAAAACACCAGAATTTTCAAGTCTAAAACATCCCGTAGCCTATCCGAAACTCACCCGAGCCCTCGGGGCTCTAAACCAAATATTCACACAAGTCTTAACACATCATACGAACTTGCTCGTGCGATAAAATTGCCAAAATAACAACTAGAACTACGAATTTAGCATCAAAATCAAAAAACTTCTCAAGAACACTTAAAGTTTCTATTTTTACAACCGGACGTCCAAATCACGTCAAATCAGTCCCGTTTCTCACCAAATTTCACAAATAAGGTATAAATATTACAACGGACCTGTACCGGGCTCCGGAATCAAAATACGGGCCCGATACCAACAAGTTCAAATATTATTCAATTTCTAAAAACCATTATATTTCCAGTTTAAATATTTTCTTCGAAAATTCATTTCTCGGACTAGGGACCTCGGAATTCAATTCCGAGCATACGCCAAAGTCCCATATTTTTGCTACGTACCCTCCGGGACCGTCAAATCACGAGTCCGGGTTCGTTTACTCAAAATATTGACCGAAGTCAACTTAAATCAATTTTTAAAGGCCAAATTTAATATTTTCTCAAATTTTCACATAACGGCTTTCCGGAAACACGCCCGGACTGCGCACGTAAATCGAGAAGAAAGAAAATGAGGTTTTGAAGGCCACGAAACCCCGAATTGGGTTTTAAAATACGAGATGACCTTTTGCGTCATCACATTTAATAATTAAATATTTCAACAAATTCCTTCTAAAATATTTTTTAAATGGAAAGATGTGCAATTAAGACAGTCACAATTGATTAAAATTTTAGGCAAGTTCTTATATTTTGTCTTATACTTTTTTTTATTTTATAAAACTAACATTTTATTTCATCAAAAAGTGTCATTACACATCCAGATTAATGCTGACCATTAATCTCCTATATCTATTTACATGTACTTTCGACTAACACTATGTCATATACTAACTATTCTAAGGAAAATTGTTTAAGCTCTCCAATTTCTTTTGCCATTTTGCTTTTTTCCTCCCGTGAATGTGTATGTGTATAGCCATTTCCTTGCATACTTCATCTATATTGTATCTGCCTTTGTTGAATCTAATCGAATTCCTTTCGCGCCAAATGCAATAGACAACAATCGCAAATGTTACTGTAGTTACTTCTGCTTTCCAGTTTTTGCTTCTTGACTGATTGCTGATCCACAGTATCTCATTCTGCCAGCTTCCTATCTGCCTTGTGAATCCAAGCCATCTCAACATTCTGTACCATAAGCTATTTGTTTTTGGACAACCAAAATACAAGTGATCAAAATCTTCCATGCTAGCTGAACAGAACACACAGTCTAGTGGAACTTGTATTCCAAAAGTCATGAGCATGTCCACTGTTGCTAACCTTTGATGAATAGCCAGCAACAGGTGGAATTTGAATCTAGGATGAACATGTGTGTGTAGATGGAGACTTTTCCACATAACTTTTGGCAATGTAGGCTGCATCTGAACATAAGCTTTGTGGATTTGAAATTTGCCCTGTCTTGTTAGTGTCTCCAATGTGGCTGTAATATGCTGTCCCAGTTTCATCTGCTTCACATCCTCTCTTGCCTCAATAATTTTCCTAATCACCCAAGCTGCTGCTTTGGGTACTTCCATTTCCACAATATCCCTATTCTTTATATAATAAGTATGGGCCCATTTGATCCACATTACATCCTTTTTCATAGCCAATGCCCAAAAGTGCTTCATCAGTGCTGCTTTATTCCATAGTCCCATGTTTATAATATTAAGACCTCCTGCAGCTTTAGGTTGACATAGTCTGTCCCATGCAATCAAAGCTTTCCTTGAGCATTCTGTTGAGCCAGTCCACAGAAAAGTTCTACAGATTGCTTCTATCATTTTCATGATCTTCTTTGGCAATAAGAAAATTTGAGCCCAATATGTTTGTATACCAAGCAACACAGACTTGATCAACTGGAGTCTTCCTGAGTATGAAAGCAATCTAGCTGACCAGCATCTTACTCTTTCAGTGATCCTTTCTACCAGTGGCAAACATTGATGGATGTTCAGCTTCCTTGTCGACATTGGCACTCCCAGATACTTAAAGGGTAAGGACCCTTCTGTGTATCCAGTATGTTCTAGCAAGTGTTCCTTTATGTGTTGTGCCACTCCAGTAAAATATATTGAGCTTTTTTCTGCATTTGCTTGCAATCCAGAAGCAGCTGAAAATTTATTGAAAGCCTCCTGAATTTTAGTAATTGAGTTAACATCACCCCTGCAAAACATTAACAAATCGTCAGCAAAACATATGTGAGTTGCTCCCAGCTTCTTGCACTTTGGATGGAACTTGAATTCCTTTTGAGTTTCCAGTTGTTTCATCTCCCTTTGTAGATATTCCATGGCAATCACAAAAAGGTAAGGGGACATTGGATCTCCTTGTCTTATTCCTCTCTTAGCTGGGAAAGGTTTGGTCAATCCTCCATTTAGTACCAAGGAATAGGACACTGTTGTCACACATTCCATTATCCATAGAATGAATTTCTGGGGGAAGCCAAGGTCAGCAAGCATGTATTTGAGGAACTGCCAGTCTAAGGAATCATAGGCTTTCCTTAGGTCCACTTTGAGCACACATCTAGGAGACAAACCTTTCCTATTATAGCCATTGAAAAGTTCATGACTAAACAGGATATTATCAATAATACTTCTCCCTTCAATAAAAGCAGAATGTGCTTTCCCTATTATGGATTCAATCACCCTTTTAATTCTTTTAGTCAGAATCTTTGCTACAATTTTGTACACAATAGTGCAACAAGCAATGGGTCTGTAGTCTTTCACTGTTGTAGGAGCTGGCACTTTTGGGATCAAGGTTATAGCAGTACAATTCCATGCTGGTTTCATCCTGCCTGTTTGGAAGAAGAATTTCACAGCATCATATATATCCTGTCTGATTTCCTGCCAATGTTTTGTAAAGAATTCTATTGGGAAGCCATCAACTCCAGGGGCTTTATCATTTGGCATGTCTTTCACTGCTTCATCAATTTCTGCATATGTGATTTCCTGAATTAGATCCTGCTGTTGTTGCAATGAGAGGCAGTTTCCATCTTTCATGACTTTAGTATTTGGGCATGGCTTTAGACCAGTCTCTTTCCCCATAAGTTGTTTGAAGAAGCATATGAATTCCTCCTCTACAGCTTTAGGGTCAGTGATTTTAGCTCCCATTTCATTGTATACAGAAGTAATGGTATTATTGCTGGCTCTGATCTTCAGCTATGCATAGAAGTATTTGGAATTTGAGTCCCCATAGTCAATCCAATTTACTCTAGCCTTCTGTCATAGGATTCTTTCCTCTATAGTACTCCACTTTTCTAGATCCTGGAGAGTTTGCTTTTCCTGATCTATCCAAACCCGATTAAAGGGATCCAATATCAGGTTTGCCTGTGTACATTCCAGCTTCTGTCTGATTTGGGTCAATCTCTGAGTATATCTTGCCATCTCCTTGTTCAAGCTTCTAGTCTCTCCTTTCAGTTTTTGTAACTTCAGCCATATACCAGCCATAGGATCATTCCCCATCTTCTGCTTCCAAATCCTTTCTACAGCAGGTTTAAAATCCTTATGCTCCATAGTTACCATATACAGTTTGAATGGTTTGGGGTGCAAACTCCTTCTTTCCCATATTTGGATCACTAAAGGTGAGTGATCAGATACCCCAGGCTCCAAACAATCAACTTCCACATGCCCATACACTTTAGTCCATTCAAAATTCCCAAATGCCCAATCTATCTTACTGTACACTCTATCATCTGTACTTTGCTTGTTACACCAAGTAAAGAAACAACCCTTTGCTCTCAGTGGGGTCATTTGCATATTGTCCATACACTCCTTAAATTCCTGTACTTCATTCATTGTGACTGGTTGCCCTAACCTATCATCAGTGGTTAGGACATTGTTGAAGTCACCACTTATGAGCCAAGGCATTTGTACTTGTCCCCCTAACTGCTGTACATCATTCCATAGTCTATCCCTCTCATGCTGTTTGTTCCTGGCATACACTACAGTAAGCAAAATCCTATATCCAGTCACAGTGTCCATCACTAGGCAGTGGATGAATTGTTCATGAACTTGGATTATGTTTACTGTTAAATTTGTTCTCCAAACTAGCCATATTCTTCCATTCTCAGCTTCAGTGTAGTTATAGCAGTAACCCCAGTCCTTTGCTACCTTATACAGTAATATTTTTTTGCCGTTTTTTTCTTTTACTCTAGTTTCTAGACATCCAAGGATATCAATCTTATTCTTTTGCAGAAAGATTCTCAGTTCCTTCTGCTTATGGGGCTTGTTCAGCCCCCTTATGTTCCAAGTACAAATTATCATGGTGGTTTATGTATAGGATCAGAGTTGCTCACCCCTCCTTGTACACTACATTCTTCCAAAATTGTAAATCTGTTGGAAGTACTAGCTTTATCATTTCTCACTTGTTTTTCTGCTATAGTCTGCCTTTCAGTTTTGTCCTTTCTTTGTATCATCATACTTTTTTGTGGCTCATCTTCTGAACTCTACCTATCTTTGGTAGCTGGAGGATATGTTTTATTTTCCTCTCCTTGTCCCTCCTCCTGTCCCTGCTGTGGTTTAGGCTTCCATTCCTGAATGACTTTCCTTCCCCTGCCCCTATTTCTTCTTTTTGGAACCTTGAATTCTGCATCCTCCTTCTGTTTAGTTGAGTTCCAGCATTCAAAACTATCATGACCAAAGTGTAAGCAATCATTGCAGAACTTTGGCCTCCATTCATACACTATCTCCTGTTGTCTGGTTTCAGTGGGGGTAACTATCTCAATCTTCTCCACTAATGGCTTTGTAATATCAAATTTCCGAGCATAGGAGATTTTGTTCAATTCAGCTGTGAACTTATCTGTATACAATGGTAATCCAACTGCACTTGCCACCTTGCTTAGTGCATCAGCAGTCCAGTATCCAGCTGATAAACTAGGTAAGTGAATCCACAAGGGGATAGTAGTAATGCATTTGGGATCAAAGTGAAAATCTCTCTCCCAGTTCTATAAGATAAACGGTTTATTATGGTATGAATAGGGACCAGCTTGCATAATTGCATCTCTAACCTCCATCGTTGTGAATCGAAACACATAATATCCATCTTGATGATACAAGATCTGAGGTTTAGTAACAAAATCCCAGACTGATTCAATATAACTCTCCATAGATTTCTCATATGGAGTGTCCCCAAGTACATATCCAATTAAAGCAGTTGCCCAATGTTCCTGTAGCTCATTTACATCGTTTTCCTCAATTTGAATGACAATCTTACCATCTCTATGGCTTGGCTGAATGTACTCCAGCTTCATTCCCATCTGAGAGTTCCGATTTTGCTTCCTCAGCTCCTTTGCCATCTCTGTCTTATCTGTTAGATCTAGATCTGGGGATGGCTGTGAAGATCCCGCCTCAGAGAATTGAAGTCGTTTTGGACTGGTTGGCAGTTGTTCCTTAGATTTCTGAGCTTCCTTTGCAGTCACAGCAATTTTACTGTTCCATTGCATACTATTTCCTTCTTCGTCCTCACTTAGCTCCTTTTCTTCTAGAATTTGGTGGAATTTAGGTGGTAGAAAGCTTCCAAACGTTAATGGAGTGAAATTTTGCATTGTTGAGTTCACCGGAGTTGTGCCCTCAGTCGCCGGCGTTACTGGTTTGCGTCTCCTTGCCATCGTTGGTGCACGTTAGCCTCCCTTGGCTAATCATGAGCTAAACCCTATTTTGTCTTATACTTATTAGCATTGCTGATTTATTTTAACTAATAAGTAGTAACAGGCTAATTATGTTAAATTTATCGAGTCAATGAGGATAATAACGTAATTTTTTTTATAATCGAGAAATTCCCAACGGCCAGCACCGCACAATTAAAACTTGTATTAGGAAAAATCAAGTTAACACATGGAATTAATTATGTGCTGACATGTCAAGACACTTGCATCAATAAAAGAATGCCAGCTGGCAAAGAATAGTTGAAGAGACACGAGCCTTAACAGGCACGGGCAGAGGTTCAACAAAACAGGAAGGAATGGTTACTCGGACCTATTGGTAATTTGAAGAGACATCAGAGGAATGAACCTAGATAGCAAAAAGTACAGATACGTATTATCCGTAATTAATGAGCGTCAATGATGGGAAACGTTACAGAATCTTCACAAAACAGATACGATTGTTGATTATAACGTTGCATTAATGACATTAATTACTCGTAATGGCTCTGTTATGAGAGGAAAGAAACGTATTACTTAGAAATAGCTATAAAAGGAGAGGAATAAACATTTGTAAGGACACAGAATATTATTGGAATACATCGATTTATTCTATATTTGATTATCAGTAACCCGAGTTCTTCTAAAAATAAGCTTTGACCGAAATTCCTATTTTCTGGTTAAACAAATTGGTTCCGTTACCGGGACTCTGATAATCTATTTCTTTCTAAATCGATTTTTTCGTCAAATCAATCATGTCGAATGTCAATGACAACAATCAAGGAGACCATCAACACCAGGAGAATCTGCAAGGCGATGGAACTCTGATCCCTTCCCCACGAAATTCTCCTCGACAATCTCGAGAAGGAACTCCTAATGGATCTCGATCAAATGTGAATGATCAGTTTGCAAATAATGAGGCTATTAACGAAGCTTTGAAAAAGTTAATCGCTCAACAGGTCAGCAATGCTCTTGAGGCCTTCGCTAACCAGCTGCCAGTTGTGCCGCCAACATCAACTCTAAACAACAACACCTTAGCAAATCCTCGCTCAGGACTCGTTAACTCGGGCAGTGGAGGAACTCCTAGCGAATCCCGTGATGGAGGGTCAGGTAACCCAGTTAATTCTGATTTACAAAATTTAGTACTAACTTTGCAGAAACAGCTCAAGGAGCAGAGCGACCGCATAGAGTAAATACCTGGAGTGCCGCCTGTAATCAAGGGAATAGATATGGACAAATACTCACAACCACCTTTGAAGCCAAGGGCTGCTCCTCTACCAATTCCAAAGAAATTCAAGATGCCCGATATTCCAAAATATAATGGAACAACTGATCCACGGGATCACGTAACTGCATTCACAACTGGTGTAAAAGGCAACGACTTGACAAAGCAAGAAATTGAATCAGTACTGGTCAAAAAATTCGGAGAAACACTCACTAAGGGAGCATTAACATTGTATTCTCTTTTACCCGAAAATTCTATAGATTCTTTTGCTGAACTTGCAGATTCATTCATCAAAGCACACTCGGGAGCTCAAAAAGTTGAGGAAAGAATGGAGGACATTTTCAAAATAAAGCAAGGAGACACGGAGCTGCTTAGGGAATTCGTAGACAGATTCCAGCGTGAGAGGATGATGTTGCCACGTGTACCAGGTAACTGGGCAGCTATGGCACGAGGAGACTCAAGGAAAGTCTACGAGAATTTCCAGTAACAACTTGGAATGATGTTTATAACAGATACAGCACGAAGCTGCGAATAGAAGAAGATACCATCATTCAATCTCAAAGGGATGAAAGGGTAAGTTCAAGGCGAGCTGAAACTGAAAAAAGGTCCGGAAAAAACAGGTATGAGCCTTACATGGGACCAGCAGGAAGAGACTCACGATCAAAACAGGAAAACCCAAGGTACGATCATAGATCAAGAGATAGAGAGTCAGGTTCATCATCAAGGTTCGGAAAAGAACGAAACACGCGATAGACGCGAGATGATGACAAAAGCTCGAAGGCAAAGATCGGCGGTTACAGTTTTAATATTAGCACATCCGAGTTGGTGGCTGTTTTAAGGAGCATGGGAGACAAGGTACGCTGGCCAAAAGAAATGAGATCAAACCCGAACAGGCGAAATCCTGATTTTTGGTGCGAGTTTCACAACGATCACGGTCATAAAACGGCGGATTGTAGATTGCTGCAAGGTGAAGTAGAACATTTATTGAAACAAGGATATTTAACTGAATTATTTAGTGAAAAGGGAAAGCAGGCATATATGAAAAATAGGCAGGAGCCCCCAAAACCCCCTTCACCAAAAAGGACAGTTAATGTCATAAGTGAGAAGAGATCAATGGCGTAACATATACGGCAGCGAGGAAGGTGTCAAAAATAACAGTTACACACGGGAAGCGAGTTCGACAGGTTTTGGAAGAAGATAGTATTACATTTGATGATGCAGATGCAGATGGCGTGCTAACCCCACATAATGATGCACTGGTATTATCTTTACTTGTAAATGACACTAATGTGAAACGAGTTTTGATTGATCCAGGTAGTTCCGTGAATATCATTCTGTTAAGAGTGGTAAATGAGATGCAAGCTGATGATAAGCTGATACCCAAGGCTCATACATTGTCCGATTTTGACAACTCGAGCGTCGTAACAAAAGGCGAGATAATACTCACCACATTCGCTGAAGGAGTAGTCAGAGACACCAAATTTCAAGTGGTAGAAATGGATATGGCTTATAACATGATTCTTGTTAGACCATGGATTCATGAGATGGATGTTGTTCCATCTACTTTGCATCAAGCTATCAAATTTCCATCACGATGGGGGATACGGAAAATCCGTGGTGAACAACAAGCTTCACGAAGCATTAATTCCGTGGTAGACTCAAACACAGAAAGGGACAAGAAATAGCAATCGCAGAATGCAGTTGAGGACGCATCAACACGAACCTCAACTGAAGATGGGCAAACAGATGTAGATTCGAGGCCCGATACTATTCAGGAACCAGAGGAAAATGAGAATATCAAAACAACGATCGAAGGATTGGAGGCTGTGGAGCTATTTGAGCATTGGACAAACAGAAAAGTCTACACTGGAATCAACCCCAGCCCGAAAATAAAACGTAAGTTGATTAAACTTGTAAAAGCTAACGCAGATTGTTTTACTTGGTCCCATTCAGATATGACAGGTATACCACCGGAGGTAATGACCCACAAATTAAATGAAGATCCATCGTACCCACCTATCAAGCAAAAGAAAAGGAAGCAAGGCTCCTTCAAGAACCTGGTGATTCAAGATGAAGTACAAAAGCGTTTAAAAATTGGGTATATCCGCAAGGTAAAGTATCCAGATTGGTTGGCTAATACTGTTGTAGTACCTAAAAAGAATAGTAAGTGACGAGTTTGTGTAGACTATACTGATCTAAATAAAGCTTGCCCTAAAGATTCTTTTCCATTACCGCATATAGATCAACTAATTGATGCTACTGCAGGACATGAATTATTAAGTTTTTTAGATGCATATTCAGGGTATAATAAAATAAAAATGGATCCTATAGATGAAGAAAAGACTTCATTTATAACAGACAAGGGGACTTACTATTACAAAGTAATGCAATTCGCTCTCAAGAATGCTGGAGCCACATATCAAAGGCTGGTGACCAAAATGTTTCAAGAACATCTAGGGAAAACCATGGAGGTTTATATAGATGATATGCTGGTCAAGTCACAACAAGCAGGAGATCATATTCAACACTTGTCTGATACATTTCAGATTCTTCGTAAATTTAACATGAAATTAAATCCTGAGAAATGTGCGTTTGGAGTGTCGTCAGGTAAGTTCTTGGGATTTCTTGTTTCTAACCGTGGCAGTGAAGTAAATCCCGCACAGATTAAACCTATTGAGGAAATTCCGAATATACTGACGAGTAAAAAAGAAGTACAGAGACTAACAAGAAGAATAGCTGCTTTGGGAAGGTTTATTTCCAAGTCATCAGAAAAAAGCTTCAGGTTCTTTTCAGCCCTAAAATAGCAAGATCAATTTGAATGGACTGAAGAATGTCAACAAGCGCTCAAAAATTTGAAAGTATACTTTTCAAATCCACCATTGCTCGCAAAACCAAAAGATGGAGAGAAACTACTCATCTACCTTGCTGTTTCAGAAGTGACGGTAAGTGCTGTGTTAGTTCGAGAGAACCAAGGTAAACAATCTCCGATTTATTATGTTAGCAAGTCATTATTAGATGCTGAGACTCGGTATCCTCATCTAGAAAAACTTGCACTTGCGTTAGTTATGGCATCTAGGAAGTTAAGGCCTTATTTTCAATGTCATCCTATCTTCGTAGTAACTACCTACCCCTTACGTAATATACTGCATAAGCAAGAATTATCAGGTAGACTAGCCAAATGGGCTATAGAGCTAAGCGAATATGACATAACATATCAACCAAGAACTGCAATAAAGTCACAAGTTTTAGCAGATTTTGTGGCAGATTTTAGTCAAGGGATACAACTAGAAGCAGAAAAAGAACTGTAGGTATTTAACGGGTCAAATCCAGGTACTTGGACTTTATTTATTGATGGTTCATCGAATGTAAAAGGCGTATGTCTAGGCATACTTTTGGTACCACCTACGGGAGAAACCATACGACAAGCCATAAAATGCCATCCTATTACTAACAATGAGGCAAAATATGAAGTTGTGGTTGCAGGTATAGAATTGGCACGAGAACTCGGTATAGAACAGGTCGTAATCAAAAGCGATTCACAGCTCGTAGTTAACCAAATGCGGGGGACATATATAGCTAGAGAGGCAAGGATGCAACAGTACTTGGAAAAGGCACGGGATTTAGTCAGGCAATTCCAAACTTGGAAAGTCATGTAGATACCAAGAGAAGAAAATGCCGAGGCAGACGCTTTAGCTAATCTCGCATCAGCCGCGGAAGTAACAAATGTAGAAAATGCATCCGT